AAATATATTTTTTAGTGATAAATTATTTGGTCATCATTGAATGTGTAAGGTATATGTGACCAATATTAGAATTTTGTTATAATTGTAATGCATTATAGTGATGATTTTTATCGACAAAAACTTATTTTATCTCTATGAACATTTTTCAGGGACGAAATATATTTTTTATGATGAATTTTTTTGTTTATCATTAAATATGTATACATCTGTGACTAATTTTTTAAATTTGTCACAATTGTGATAAGTTATAGTGATAATTTCAAAATTCATCACAAATTTCTGTTACTAAAAATCATTTTTCTTGTAGTGATTATTCGGCTGAGGCGGCTGTACAGCCGCAACTGTATTTAAGAACAAAAACAGTAACAATTGCTAATGTAAGATTATGCAACCCCATTTGGGTCAGTAAGGGAGTAGAGCATGGGGAAGAAAACAGGTAAAATGAAATTACCAATCATTTACAGATTTCTAGTAGTCCTTATTGAACTTTGAAATATCAACGCGCTTTTCATCTGTATCCATGATGAAACAATTTAATGCAGGGGTAAATGAAGTCAAGGACGTCGTGTCCTGCGTGAATATTGGAAAAGTTAGTCTTACGGTGAAAGGCAGCCTTTGGGGGAATAAGGGGTGTTTGGTGGAGTTTATTTCACTTTTTGAGTTGCTATAAGAAAATTTTTTTCTCACTAAAACTTACTTTTTAACATTCTTTGGAGCTTATAAGCAAGAAGCTCCAAAGGAAATTCAATAGAACAAAATGATGAGAGGCATTGTTCGTAATTCTAGCCTCTTTGTCTAGACGTGAAGAGGAAGGGTAAAGAAATGAAAAAATGAAGCCTCCCGCATGTAGTTCTTGTAAAATTGTTTTTCTAAAATTTGCTTATAAACTCTTTAAACATTTAAGAATATCTAGTTTTCCCTCCAACAAAATTTAAAATTGGTAGCCAAAATAATTAGTATGAGAAGTTGTGTATGGGCTTCTGGTGAGTTTTGGGAGGAGGATGGACCTGAAGAAGGACCTGAACTTGGGCCGGCCGAACCGCCCCTATTGCAGCAATTAATCCCCAAAAGATGTTTTCTCCACAATTAGGGGTGTTCACGGGGTGGTTTGGTTCGGATTTTAATATTTTTTAATCCAATCCAATTTAATCGGTTAGTAAAATTTTTAAACCAATCCAATCCACTATTATATGA